AGTCAAATTGTCTCTATTTGCAGACGACATGATTGTATATCTAGAAGACCCCATCGTCTCAGCCCAAAATCTCCTGAAACTGATAAGCAAGTTCAGCAAAGTCTCAGGATACAAAATCAATGTGCAAAAATCACAGGCATTCCTATACACCAATAACAGCATTAAAGACAGCCAAATCAAGAATGAACTGCCATTCACAATTGCCACAAAGAGAATAAAATACCTAGGAATACAACTAACAAGGAACGTAAAGGACCTCTTCAAGGAGAACTACAAGCCACTGCTCAACGAAATCAGAGAGGGCACAAACAGATGGAGAAACATTCCATGTTCATGGTTAAGAAGAATCAATATCGTGAAAATGGCCATACTGCCCAAAGTAATTTACAGATTCAACGCTATCCCCATCAAGCTACCAATGACCTTCTTCACAGAACTGGAAAAAAACACCTTAAACTTCATATGGAACCAAAAAAGAGCCCGCATAGCCAAGTCAATTCTAAGCAAAAAGAACAAAGAGGGAGGCATAACACTACCAGACTTCAAACTATACTGCAAGGCTACAGTAATCAAAACAGCATGGTACTGATACCAAAACAGAGATATAGACCAATGGAGCAGAACAAAGGTCTCAGAGGCAACACAACATATCTACACCCATCTGATCTTTGAAAACCAAACAAAAACAAGCAATGGGGAAAGGATTCCCTGTTTAATAAATGGTGTTGGGAAAGCTGGCTTGCCACGTACAGAAAGCAGAAACTGGACCCCTTCCTGACACCTTACACTAAAATTAACTCCAGATGGTTTAAAGACTTAAACATAAGATCTAACACCATAAAAACCCTAGAAGAAAATCTAGGCAAAACCATTCAGGACATAGGCGTAGGCAAGGACTTCATGACCAAAACACCAAAAGCATTGGCAACAAAAGTCAAAATAGACAAATGGGACCTAATCAAACTCCACAGCTTCTGCATGGCAAAAGAAACAGTCATTAGAGTGAAACAGCAACCAACAGAATGGGAAAAAATTTTTGCAGTTTACCCATCTGACAAAGGGCTGATATCTAGAATTTACAAAGAACTAAAACAGATTTACAAGAAAAAAACAAACAAGCCCATTCAAAAGTGGGCAAAGGATATGAACAGATACTTTACAAAAGAAGACATACATGAGGCCAATAAACATATGAAAAAATGCTCATCATCACTGGTCATTAGAGAAATGCAAATCAAAACTACATTGAGATACCATCTCACGCCAGTTAGAATGGCGATCATTAAGAAATCTAGAGACAACAGATGCTGGAGAGGATGTGGAGAAATGGGAACACTTTTACACTGTTGGTGGGAGTGTAAATTAGTTCAACCATTGTGGAAGACGGTGTGGCGATTACTCAAGGACCTAGAAATAGAAATTCCATATGACCCAGCAATCCCGTTACTGGGTATATATCCAAAGGATTATAAATCGTACTACTATAAGGACACATGCATACGAATGTTCACCGCAGCACTGTTTACAATAGCAAAGACCTGGAACCAACCGAAATGTCCATCGATCATAGACTGGACAGGGAAAATGTGGCACATATACACCATGGAATGCTATGCAGCCATCAAAAACGATGACTTTGTGTCCTTTGTAGGGACATGGATGAACCTGGAAACCATCATTCTCAGCAAACTGACAGAAGAGCAGAAGATCAAACACCGCATGTTCTCACTCATAGGTGGGTGTTGAACAATGAGAACACATGGACACAGGGAGGGGAGCACTACACACTGGGGTCTGTTGGGGGGAAATAGGGGAGGGACGGTGGGGGGTGGGGAGTTGGGGAGAGATAGCAAGGGGAGAGATGCCAGATGTAGGTGATGGGGAGGAAGGCAGCAAATCACACTGCCACGTGTGTACCTATGCAACAATCTTGCATGTTCTTCACATGTACCCCAAAACCTAAAATGCAATAAAATAAATTTAAAAAAAAATTTAACATAACTTTAAGAATTTAAAATTAAAGGACAATTTTATTTATAAAAAAAAAAAAAAAGAAAGAAAATTATGTGTTCTTGGGGAATGTCCCTACTCACCTTTCCTATGATTCCACGAAAAGAACTGCTATACTATTTTGACTAAAGCAGTTTCAAAATCACTTTTTCTTTTGTTACATGGATCTGAGCCAATGTCATATCTAACATCCATTTTTTATATATTTTTAAAATCATAACTGAAGAGAATATTTAATTTCAATTAAAATGTTATTAAATTTTAATAAAAATGTTAATAAAATTTATTTTAATAAAATTTAATTTTAATAGAGAATATTTAAGACCTCACAATCAGATAGAGGTTAAAAAATCCAGGCTTGAATACATTTACTTATGTATGATCTTAGGCTAACTTTCCCAAACCCCAACTTCTGTGATGTCCTATTACTACAGGGCCAAAAGTCAAATAGAAGACATGTTAAATCCTGCAATCCCACTTCTAGGTAATTGCCCAAAAGTTTGTCCAAGAGATCGGCACTCCCATGTTCACTGCAGCACTATATATTAACAGCAACAGATAAATGGATAAAGGAAATGTGGTATACATATATATATAATGGAGTATTACCCAGCCTTTAAAAAAGATGGAAATTCTATCATTTGCAACATGAACGGAAGTGGAGAACATTGTGCTCAGTGAAATAAGCCAGGCACAAAAAGACAGATCCTGCGTGTTCTCACTTGTAGGTAAAATCTAAAACAATGGAATTCATAAAAGCACAGAGTAGAATGACGATTACAGAGGCTGGTCGGGGTGGTGGGTGCAAAGAATGGGCAGATGAGAGTCAAAAAGTATAAAATCTCCAACAAGAGGAACATGTTTTTTTACTTCTAATGCACAGTATGGTGAATATAGAGTATGGTATATTTCACAACTGCCAAGAAAATAAATTTCAAATGTTCTTGCCACAAAGTGTTAAGTATTTCAGGTGAATACGTTAACTACATTGATTTAATTATTCCACATTGTATTTTCGGGCCATCACATCACTTTACCCTTACCTGTTCATTAAATATTATTTCTTTCTATTCCATTTAAAGATCAAAACATCAAAGATCAATAAAAAGTAACTTTTTGTTAGCCAATGAAAAATGTAGTAACCAGTACTTAGAATGTACTAAGATAGAAAGGGCCACCTCAGTAGTGTCTGAAGCTAACACATTTCTATCTCCATAGTTACTTTCGCAAACCTGGTTCCCTTCGCTTCTGCCACATCACGCAGAGCTAGTAATCAAGTTCGCACCTAACATCAATTTTTTAAATCCAAACAACAATTTTATAAATAAGAACTATAAATGTTTAAGATCTCCTGAATCTCTCTCTAGTTTTACCACCAGTATTAGCTGTTGGCTTTTTCCCACTAGAATAAAAGTTTTCATGACTTCGCAGTAAGTTGCTTCATTCATAATTCCCAATACCCTCCTCCAGTGCCCTTAGCTGAGCACTCTGCCAATACAGCAGCACAGAGGGAGTACGATACAAATTTGTGCCTCAAAAAATTAAATATAATTACTTGAAATAAATTTTCAACGTCACCTAAGAATAGGTGAGGCTTTCCATTTTAAGTTCACAAACACAAAGAGCCCTACAGCATAGTAATCCACTTGAAAAATGGTGAGATCTCTATTACTGCAGGCCCAGTGGAAATGGAGAAGGGATGAATTTAGGGGATGTCAAGAAGGAAGAACTGATATGAGTTGGCGATTCAATCGATGTGAGACAGAAAAAACATGCCCAAATTCCTCTGGTTCAAAACCTAGCAGATGACAGTATAATTTATGAAAACAAAGAGAAACAGATTTAGACGAAAAAGATAATGAGTTAGTTCATCATAAAGTACACCTCATCCATCAGAAAAACAGCTACATTGTGGTATACTTTAACCAAGACAAATATGTTAGATTAAAACGGAATCTCTCCAGCTGTACTACTAGCACTACTTAACAACCTAAATTTAGGTAGTTAATGCTGTGAAAACCTTACTTAACACTGAGAAAACCATTTCATTAGAGAGCCTTATTAAATGGAAACAAAATTTAGATACAAGATATTTAATAATTATCAAACCTGCTTTAAGAGGAAAAACTGCCAATTCGTATAAATAACATAAGTCTACGAAACTAGGTGGTAAATACATCATACCAAAAACTGCCACTAACTAGGAATATCTGCATTTACTCTTGGAAAGACCAGTCTTGGGCAGACTACTCAGGAGGTTGAGGTGGACGGATCACTTGAGCCGGGCAGGTCAACACTGCAGTGAGCCGTGATTGCGCCACTGCACTCCTGCCTGAACAACAGAGTAAGGCCTTGTCTTAAGAAAAAGAAATTCTGGGGATTAAAATTCAGGTCACACTACCTCATCTGTAGTTTCTCAAAATATTTGTAAAAACTTAACAAGCAATGTGTTCATTTAAAAAAATGTATTATTGGCCGTGTATAGTGGGTCACATCTATAATCCCAGTCTTTTTTTTGGGGGACGGAGTCTCACTCTTGTCGCCAGGCTTGAGTGCAGTGGCGTGATCTTGGCTCACTGAAACCTCCACCTCCCGGTTTCAAGAGATTATCCTGTCTCAGCCTCCTGAGTGGCTGGGATTACAGGCACGCGCCACCATGCCCAGCTAATTTTTGTATTTTTAGTAAAAACGGGGTTTCACCATGTTGGCCAGGATGGTCTCAATCTCCTGACCTCATGATCTGCCTGCCTTGGCCTCCCAAAGTGTTGGGATTACAGATGTAAGCCACCATGCCTGGGCTATAATCCCAGGCTTTTGGGAGGCTGAGGCAGGAGGATTGCTTCAGGCCAGGAGTTTGAGACCAACCTGGGCCACACAGGTCCCATTTCTACAGAAAAGAAAATACATACATACTTTAACCATGTGAGAAGAAAAAAAAAAGAAAATATATACATATGTACATATATACACACATAAAAAATGTAACTTACCAATAGTTTTGCCGCCTGAACACGAACCACCCAAGAGCCATCACTGACCATGTGACAAATTTTTCCAAACGCATCATCAACTAAGCGAATTTCTTCATTAGAAGAAGGGATTGGGACAATGCTAAATTAAAAGAAAAGAAATAGAATCACTTAGAACAAAACACGAGCCTAAGGCTGCGGTCTCAGGGCAGGCACAGTGGCTCACACCTATAATCCTAGCACTTTGGGAGGCCCAGGTAGGTAGACTGCTTGAGCCCAAGAATTTGAGACCAGTATAAGCAACATGGCAAAGCTTCATCTCTACAAAAAAATACAAAAATTAGCCAGGCATGGTGGCATGTGCCAATAGACCCAGCTATCTGGGAAGCTAAGATGGGAGGATCACTTTAGTTCTGGAGGTGAAGGCTGCAGTGAGCTGAGATCACGCCACTGCACTCCAGCCAGAGTGACAGAGCAAGACCCTGTATCAAAAAATAAATACAGTCTGAGCACGGTGGCTCACACCTGTAATCCCAGCACTTTGGGAGGCAGAGGCAGGCAGATCACTTGAGGTCAGGAGTTCGAGACCAACCTTGCCAACATGGTGAAACCCTGTCTCCACTAAAAATACAAAAATTAGCTGGGTATGGTGACACATGCCTGTAATCCCAGCTACTCGGGAGGCTGAGGCAGAGGCAAGAGATCGCTTGAACCCAGGAGGCGGAGGTTGCAGTGATCCGAGATTGTGCCACTGCACTCCAACCTGGGCGACAGAGATAGACTCCATCTCAAAAATAATAACAATAATAATAAACAAATAAATACATAAGTAAGGCTGTAGGCTCAATAAATGGAACAGTCAATGAAGACTGACACACATGAAGGTGATAACGGAATAGTTCAAATCTTAGAATGATTAAATACATTTCAGAATAAACAAATCACTCTGGGAGTACAAACCAACTGTTTCAGTTGCATTACAACTTATCCTTTTTTTTTTGAGACAAGATCTCACTTCCATCACCCAGGCTGGAGTGCAGTGGCATGATCACTGCTCACTGCAGCCTCAACTTCCTGGGCTCAGGTGATCCCCCCAGTTCACTCTTCTGAGTAGCTGGGACTACAAGAGCATGCCACCACACCCAGCTAATTTTTTATATTGTTAGTAAAGACGGTTCATCATGTTGCTCAGGCTGATCTCAAACTCCTGAGCTCAAGCAATCCGTCCGCCTCAGCCTCCCAAAGTGCTAAGATTACAAGGACGAGTCACTGTACCGAGCTGCAAATTTTCAATGTATTGAATAAAAGTGTGTAAGCCACCAAAGGTTCAGCCAGGCGTGGTGGCTCATGCCTGTAATCCCAGCACTTTGGGGGGCTGAGGCAGGCAGATTATCTGAAGCCAGGAGTTTGAGACCAGCTTTGTCAACATGGTAAAACTTTATCTCTACTAAAAATATAAAAACTGAGCCGGGTATGGTGGTGTATGCCTGTAATCCCAGGTACTTGGGAGGCTGAGGCATGAGAATTGCTTGAACCCAGGAGGTAGAGGTTACAGTAAGCTGAGATCACATCATTGCACTATAGCCTGGGCCTCAGAGCAAGACCCTGCCTTAAAAAAAAAAGTGCTTAACCCATCAAAGGTTCAAAGACTTATAAAGTTATCAAAAACTAGCTACCAAGGAATATTTTATATCTTTAAGTTTATTATCTCCTATGACTAAACTTCTTTTATTTTTGAGAGAGAGAGAGAATGTATGTTTTGCTCTGTCACCCAGGCTGGAGTACCGTGGTGCAATCTTGGCTCACTGCAATTTCCACCTCCCAGGTTCAAGCAATTCTCCTGCCTCAGCTTCCCTACTAATTGGGATTAGAGGTGTGTGCCACAACACTCGGCTAATTTTTGTGTTTTTAGTAGACATGGGGTTTCACCATGTTGGCCAGGCTGGTCTCAAACTCCTGACCTCAGGTCATCTGCCCGCCTCAGCCTCCCAAAGTGCTGGGATTACAGGTATGAGCCACCGCACCCATTCTGAACTCCTGTAAATACAGTAAATCTCAAAATAAATAAATATAAAACTTCCTCATCAATCCAGTCCTAAAAGAAGAGACAATTTCCAGTTAGCCTTTTTCTCTGTATGTATCTAAGTCCTAAAACACCACAAATGGAGCGTACTCCTACAGGTTTATTAATTCATTCTGGTTTTCAAATTTTGGCAGCTTAACAAAGAGGGAAAAAACACCTCTTTTTCCTATACAAGGAAAAACAAAACATTATATAAATATTTATAAATAAATATGATACAACTTTATAAATATTAAATTTTATAGAATATAAAATAGAATATTGCTTATCCTCCTCAAAGAATCACCATGAAAACTGATAATTTACTTGCTTTGAAAATATTTTTTGTTTTGGTTTTGGTTTTTTTGAGACGAAGTCTGGCTCTGTCGCTCAGGCTGGAGTACAGTGGCATAATTTCGGCTCACTACAACCTCCCCTCCCAGGTTCAAACAATTCTCCTGCCTCAGCCTCCTGAGTAGCTGGGATTACAGGCATGTGCCACCATGCCTGGCTAATTTTTGTATTTTTAGTAGAGACGGGTTTCACTGTGTCGGCCAGGCTGGTCTCGAACACACGTACTAGTGATCCACCAGCCTCAGCCTCCCAAAGTGATGGGATTACAGGCGTGAGTCACTGTGCCTGGCATGAAAATATCTTTAATCTGGAAAACAGTACATAAGAGATCATTATCCTCAAACTCATCGGGTATCTTTATCTGGCATTTGGTGCAAACCAAACTAAGATGGGTCTCAAACAATTTTAAAGATTTTTTTTTTTTAAGTAATGAAAAGCATTTAAGAAAGACATTCCGGGCCAGGCACAGTGGCTTATGCCTGTAATCCCAGAACTTTGGGAGGCCGAGGCGGGTGGATCACAAGGTCAATAGATCGAGACCATCCTGGTCAACATGGTGAAACCACATCTCTACTAAAAATACAAAAAATTAGCTGGGCACGGTGGCGCATGCCTGTAATCCCAGCTACTCAGGAGGCTGAGGCAGAAGAATTGCCTGAACCCAGGAGGCGGAGGTTGCGGTGAGCCGAGATCGCGCCATTGCACTCCAGCCTGGGTAACAAGAGCGAAACTCCATCCCAAAAAAAAAAAAAAAGACAGACATTCCAATTTCTTCACTTATGGATGAGAAGGTTAGGATCAAAGAAGTGAAGTATCTTTCCAACGTTGTGCAGAAAGATCCTATAAGAGATGAAAAATGAGGACTAGGCAATTTGATTTTCAGGGCTTGTGCTTTTCCCTTACTCCCCATTGCCTTTCAAAAATCTAACTAACATTTCTTTTCTAGAAGTGGGCTTTTTGCAATGATGAGAGGAGAGGAAAATGGCTTCACAATCAACAAAAGTCAGCTTACACCCACACTGACCTTTCAGGATAGAGCTGACTGACAACCCAGATAAGCTGGACTGCAGCACTGCGTACTTGTTCATAGTCATCAGAGAGCAATTTACAGGCCTGCAAAGAATTACAAAGGTCTATTAGTTCTGTGTCCTCTCAGGTAATGTTTAAACTATTTTCAAAGTGAAGATAGGGTGGTTGGTTAAGGATGCCCAGTAAAATACTTTCGTATGGTTTTAACTTCTTGAATCTTTGCCCAACAATGAATCTTGGTCTCTGTTAGCTGCTCCGACTGTATTCTGACTGTGCCTATCCCATGTCTCAAAGGAGAACCACAGACTGACAGCATAAAAACATCTAGAAGAGCATCAAACCCATCAAAGCATGCTGGGAGCCCACAGGCTCAAATACCAAATACAGGTTTTTCCTCCACCTGTAAAAACCAAAGCACACACTTCTGTTTACTTTGGTCTGAAATCATTGGCCTCTGTTTCAATCTACTCACTCTTTCTCGGTAGCCCCACACTCCCTAAATACTGATGGCTCCAAACACCTACCTTTAGCTCTGATTTCTTCTGAGCTCCAGACCTTCATAACTACTTATGGCTGGAATTCTCTTCATGGATGAAGAGAATTTCATCATCAAACTTTTATACTCAACCCTGAACTCATTAAGGAACCAAATTCTACCTTATATCTTAAATCCTACACTATCAATCTATCCTTACTCCCTTGAGGCTCTCATTACTGCTTGCCTAGATTACTAATAGAGTCTTATACCACCAAACATCTGAATCAGCCATCTAACTTTCCTTCCTCTGAGTCCTTACTATCCAAATTTCCTTTAATTATTTGGCTTCCCAAATAGTTTTCCTATAGGAAAAGAAGGCAATGGTCGCACCACAAGCATTCTGGACCCATTCTGCTTCAGCAGAGGAATAAACCTGGTTTACACATCCATGATAGGGGCTTGGCTAATTATCTTTTTCCCGTGAGAGATAAAGCCACTCTTGGCAGACTAACAAAACCTAATATCTGAACATGGATTTAGATTGCCTATTACCAGATTCAGTCAATTATTATCCAAGAGAAATTTAACCTTGTAAGGCCTTTTGATTAGGCCATCGATCAGTTTTTCCACAACTTCATTATGCCTTTCTTTACCACTAATACTACATTCATGTGACATCTTTTTATATAATCCCATGGTCTTGGTCACCCTTCTCCAGACACACTCCAGTTTGTCAAGTGTGATGCCCAGAAATAACTTCATGTATGGTCCAACCAACCAGAGATGAGCAAGACTAACATGTTCCTTATTCTAAATACTACACTTTTCTTCAGGTACTCTCATACTCATACTGACCTTTGTAAATCCTCCTAAATGTGCTTTTCACAGGTACTCATGCTATTTAATTATCTAACCTCCATTCTCTTCCTGAAAAGTATGTTTTGAATATGATTTCACATTCATCCCAATCAACACTGCCATTATTAACCAGCGAAGTCCTTATGTTTTCAAAGAGAACCAATGTGCCACCCTCCCAGCTTCATGATACCTCCTCCCCTTCCGGACAGTAATCATTTAAGGTACCTGATTATAAATTGTTTGGTGTAATTTCAATCCTCTTTCATGGAGCTGCAACTAGATAATAAATATATAGTTTACTTGGGAGAAAAACAGCAATATTTCCAATGTGTCACCACAATCTCATATATTTTCCTCTATTATATCAGGCTAACATAGTTCCATTTAGCCAAAATCAGTGCTACATAAATAAGAAACCTGGTTGCTTTTCAATAGAAGCATTCAAGCATTTCATAAATCTAACCAATGGACTGCCCCAAGAATTTACTAGAAAAACATGAAATAATGATATGAAGGCTTATGAAAAAATGATTAATACCACCTCCCCCTATTATAATATCATACAAAGTCATAGCCCTCCCTACCAAAGGAATTATAACAGGTTCATGTTATACTTTCCATGTTTCATAAATACACATGAAAGCTACCAAAGAAAGCCAAAAAAAAAAGCACACTTGTATATAGGAATGTTTGTCACTGAGTTCTGTGAGGCCACCACCAATACCTTCCTGGAAGTATATGCTGAATTCAGAGTGTATCCAAGGCAGCACTAGCTATAAACTTAAAAAACAAAAATGAACACTAGCCCCAACTAGTTTCCATAATCATGTTTACCATGGCTTTTATAGCTGCTGTTCTGACACGTGGGTCTTGGTCACTGAAGTAATCCCCTATAATCTTCTGGACATCTCTGGTAGCTAGGCCTTCTGCATCTTTGGTGATGCTTTTCTCCAAAGAACCAAGATTGCCAAGTAACTGCAGGCACTTATTTCTTACACCATGAGATGTATCTGTCAGATGCTATTAAAAAAAAAAAGAAAGAAAGAAAGAAAAAGAACATAATTAAGATATCCTAACAAAGACAAAACCAGAAACAAAAGCATTGCATCAACCTTAGGGGTGATTTCAAGCCCTATATTCTTAAGACAGTCTGTCTACCATCATGTTACTTGAGTACGTGTCTTCTCAAAAAAACATGAGTCCCTAGGAGATAAAAGTCCTAGTTTTTCATCTTTGTATTCCCAATAGCTAGTACTTTGCCACGTACAGAGTAGGTACTTTAAAATTTGTCTGTGAATTGCATTTTGCTTGCTTTCAAATTTTAAAACTAGATAAAAATGTATAAATTTTTTAAACTTTTTTTTTTTTTTTTTTTGAGACAGAGTCTCGCTCTGTTGCCCAGGCTGGAGTGCAGTGACGTGATCTCAGCTCACTGCAACCTCCACTCCCTGGGTTCAAACAATTCTCCTGCCTCTGCCTCCTGAGCAGCCTGGGTTACAGGCGCATGCCACCACACCCAGCTAATTTTTGTATTTTTTAGTAGATACGGGGTTTCAGCATGTTGGTCAGGCTGGTCTCGAACTCTTAACCTCGTGATCCGCCCACCTCAGCCTCTCAAAGCACTGGGATTATAGGCGTGAGCCACCACGTCCATCCAGCCATTTTTAAAACTTTTAATACCAGTGAATTGCATTTTATTTGCTTTCAAATTTTAAAACGAGACAAAAATGTATAAATTTTTAAAACTTTTAATATCCACAGAAATATGCAAAAATCTTGTGTATAGCTCAAAATTTTTCATAAATACACATATATAACAAGCACCCAGATTAAATGGTATATAACCAACACTCCAGAAACATCCCTCATTCCTCCTCCCAGCAACGACATCACCACACCACCACCAAAAATAGCTATTATCCAGACTTCTAACACATAGGTTCATTTGTTTATTTTTGTTGAACTCAAATATCTGGTTTCTGTGGTTTAATATTATGTTTTTGTTTTTTAATGAATGAGAGGTTCTTATGTTGCCCAGATTGGTTGGCCTCAAACACATAGCCTCGCCTCCTCAAGGACCAGGACAACTGGCATGAGCCACCGCGGCCCCCAATATTATGTTTTTAAGATTTATGCATGGTATGGCAGATAGCAATGGTTCATTTATTCTTGTTACTTATACAGTATTCATTTGTAAATACACAAATATCTATTTAGCCTTTCTGTTGATGAATATTTAAGTTATTTCCAGTCTTTGGCTATTTTGAATAATGCTACTGTGATTATTCTTGTATGTGGCTTTTGGTATACGTGTTCACATTTTTGTTGGATATATAGTATTGAAGTAGAATTGAGGTATTGAGGTAGAAGTAGAATTGCTAGGTAACAAGACATGCTTCAGCTTGAGAAGATACTGCCAGTTGGGCACAGTAGCTCATCCCTACAATCCCAGTACTTTGGGAGGCCAAAGCAGGAGGATCACTTGACCACAGGAGTTCAAGACTGGCCTGGGCAAATGGTGGAAACCTGTCTCTGCCAAAAAACATAAAAATCAGCTGGGTCTGGTGGCACACGCCTATAGTCCCAGCTACCCAGGAGGCTAAGGTAGGAGGGTCCTTTAAGGTCAGGAGGTGGAGGCTGCAGTGAACCATGATCACACCACTGCACTAGAACCTTGGTGACAGAGTAAGACCCTGCCTCAAAAAAAGAAGATACTGCCAAATAGTTTTCCATAATGGCTGCACTAATTTTCACTTCCACCAGTGCTGCATAAGTGTTCTAGATGTGCCACATCATTGTCAACATTTAGAACTTTCAATATTTTTTATGTTAGCACTTCTTACCAAGAATTTTAATAAATTAACTGTTTTCCTCCTGTATTACCCTAGTCCAATACTACTAAACCAAGCTATTTGCTAATACAGTAACAGAAAGTAAAAATACTTTGAAAAAATTAGGCTGTGCATGAGGTAATAAAAATGGTATGGAACTCTGGATTTCAAACTTTTTTACTAGCACCCAAAGTAAAAAAATACATAATATTACAACATATTACATAAAAACACACATATAGAAAGTTTAACAAAACAGTATTTACCTTATAGCTTATGATTTATTCTAATATTTGTATTTTATTTCGTTTTTCAATAAACAATCATCACATCTCATGAAACTGGTTGCATTACCTACTAAAGGATCATGATTCTCAGGGTGAGTCGCTAGTATGGAGAAAGGTGAATCAGACTTGGCCAGCTGGGGCAACACAGTAAGACCCCACTCTTTTTTAAAAAACTTATAGCCAGGTGTGGTGGTATGCATGTGTAATCCCAGCTACTCAAGAGGATGAGGCTAGAGAATTGCTTGAACCCAGGAGGCGGAGGTTTCAGTGAGCCAAGATTGTGCCACTGCATTCCAGCCTAAGCAACAGAGCAAGACTCTGTCTCAAAAAAAAAAAAATCCTCCCAAAAAACAAAATAAATGAACTATTTATATTTAGTATAAAAACATCATTTCTCATGACTAAACTGTTGACTTAAGCTCTGTTACAAATACTTTGTTTTTCAAGCAATAAACTACATCCTTCCAGCTTCTGTTAACCAGGCAACAATAATGCACAATCAATGTATCTGCACAATGAACCTTAGCCCAAAAGAGAGTCTCAGGCTTTCAAGGCAACAATTACAATTTTATGATGTCCTTTCCCTACAGGTCACTTCTTGCATCAAGTCAACATCATTTAGAATTAACTGCTTTTCTTTACAGTTGGATAAAAATTTATTAATTAAAAAAAAAGAACTGCTAAGTGTGTGCAGATGCTATTTTGGTGTTCACTTTGTCAGGCCATTAAAGTGCCGTCGTTTTATATTAATGGAGCAAGAGAGCAACCACATCTCCCATAATAAGACCAATTTGTAGGCCAGGCGCGGTGGCTCAAGCCTGTAATCCCAGCACTTTGGGAGGCCGAGGCGGGTGGATCACAAGGTCAAGAGATCGAGACCATCCTGGTCAACATGGTGAAACCCCGTCTCTACTAAAAATACAAAAACATTAGCTGGGCATGGTGGCGTGTGCCTGTAATCCCAGCTACTCAGGAGGCTGAGGTAGGAGAATTGCCTGAACCCAGGAGGCGGAGGTTGCAGTGAGCCGAGATCGTGCCATTGCACTCCAGCCTGGGTAACAAGAGTGAAACTCCGTCTCAAAAAAAAAAAAAAAAAGACCAATTTGTGTCAAAAATAAAAATAAACTAAACCAATTAGTTTACAATTTTGCTATATATAAAAAAATGGTTCTGCATATCAACAAAATCTGAGAATAAAGTTGAGTAAGACAAAAATAACACATAGATCCATTCAGCATTGATATGGATTTTTTTTTTTCTTTTGAGATAAGGGTCTTGCTCTGTCACTCAGGCTGGAGTGCAGTATTGCAATCAGGGTTTGAAACCTTGGCCTAACAAGCTCAAGAGATCCTTCCACCTCAGTCTCTTGAGTAGCTGGAACCACTGGTGCATGCCATCACACTTGGCTAATTTTTAAAATTTTTGTAGAAATGGAATGTTGCCATCTCAGCAATTTGGGAGGCCAAAGCAAGTGGATCACCTGAGGTCAGGAGTTTGAGACCAGCCTGACCAACAAAGTGAAACCCCGTCTCTACTAAAATTACAAAAATTCGCTGGGCGTGGTGGCAGGCGCCTGTAATTCCAGCTACTAGAGAGGCTGAGGCAGGAGAATCGCTTGAACCCAGGAGGCGGAGGTTGCAGTGAGCCGAGATCCCACCATTGCACTCCAGCCTGGACAATAAAGGCAAAACTCTGCCTCAAAAAAAAGAAATGGGATGTTGCCATATCGCCCAGACTGGTCTCAAACTCTTGGGCTCAGGTAATCCTTGATATGGATGGTTTTTAAGGACAGATAATAATTTGGTGTCTTCTGTATACATATTCTAATGGATACCCTCTTTTAATAAGAACTTTGTTTTCCCAGAAAAATCTTTACAAATAGGAAAGAAAGCAGATGACCCTCAATTTCAGTTGTGCAAATGCTACACAAGAAAAGTGCGTTCATTCCCTGGCCAAGTCTTTGAGCTAAGTTTATTAATCTCTCAAATTAAGATTTGAGAGAAATGATTAAGGAGAGGATAAATGGGAACTTAAAAAATACCCAAAAGCATGATTTTATTCTTACTGTGATACAAAGAATACAACAGAATAACATCCTTATTTAAAAATTATTATAAAGAGACAATTTAAACTTCAAAAAATGATGAGAAGATTGTACTATAATATAGTGAATAAAACAGGAGATGAATGGAAGGAAGGAGGGAGGAAAGAGGGAAGGAGGAAGGAGGGAAAGTAGGAAGGGAATAAGGGAAGGAGGGAGGGGAGGCAAGCTCTCTTTATGGTAATAAAGTCAGGCAAGATTTAGTAACAGCTGCTAAAATGATGGGTAAAGTTTGATGAAGAACATATTTACATAATCTCAAAGTATCTCTCCACAAATTCTGTATTTTTGATTTTAATGTTTTACTATTATAGTCATAATCATATACATTTATGGGATACAATGTGATGCTTTAATATATGTATGCAATGTAGAATTATTAAGTAAAGCTAATTAACATACATCCATCAACTATCATTTTTTGTGGTGAGATATTTGAAACATTTACTTAGGTTTTGTTGTTGTTTAAGAAACAAGTTTTTCAGCTGGTGATACTTTATAAAAAAACAAACAGCCGGGCCCGGTGGCTCACATCTGTAATCTCAGCACTTTGGGAGGCGGAGGCGGGCAGATCACCTGAGGTCCAGAGTTCAAGACCAGCCTGGCCAACATGGTGAAACCCCGTCTTTTAAAAAAACAAACAAACAAACAAAAGAGACAAGGTCTTCCTCTGTCACCCAGACTGGAGTGTAGTAGCACGATCATAGCTCACATAGCTTGCAACTCCTGGGTTCAAGCAACCCTCCTGATTCAGCCTGAGACTACAGGTGCACACCACCACAGCCAGGTGCTTCCCTCCCC